GGGATTTGTGTCCAGCCTTCCATGGGATTTGTGTCCAGATTTCCCATGGGATTTGTGTCCAGAGGGATTTGTGTCCAGATTTCCCATGGGATTTGTGTCCAGAGGGATTTGTGTCCAGATTTTCCATGGATTTGTGTCCAGCCTTCCATGGGATTTGTGTCTGGCATTCCAATGGGATTTGTGTCCAGACTTCCCATGGGATTTGTGTCCAACTCTGTGGGGCCATGTCCATCCTGCCCATGGGATCACATCCAATCTCCCTATGGGATCACATCCAATCTCCCCATGGGATTACATCCAATCTCCCCATGGGATCACATCCAATCTCCCCATGGGATCACATCCAATCTCCCTATGGGATCACATCCAATCTCCCTATGGGATCACATCCAATCTCCCTATGGGATCACATCCAATCTCCCTATGGGATCACATCCAATCTCCCTATGGGATCACATCCAATCTCCCTATGGGATCACATCCAATCTCCCTATGGGATCACATCCAATCTCCCTATGGGATCACATCCAATCTCCCTATGGGATCACATCCAATCTCCCTATGGGATCACATCCAATCTCCCTATGGGATCACATCCAATCTCCCTATGGGATCACATCCAATCTCCCTATGGGATCACATCCAATCTCCCTATGGGATTATGTCCATCTTGTCCCTGGGATCACATCCAATCTCCCCACGGGATCACATCCAATCTCCCTATGGGATTATGTCCATCTTGTCCCTGGGATCACATCCAATCTCCCCACGGGATCACGTCCATCCTGCCCCTGGAGCCGTGTCCCTGCACCCCCACATTTCCCTGGCAGACCCTGCACCCCCTCCTCCCCCTCAGTTTCACCCAACAACTGAAGGATTTTATCCACGACACCGAAAGAATCCTCCCCGATCCCGGGGCCGGCTGCTCCGAACCCCTTGGCCAGACCCCAAAATCCAGGGGATTTCTCTCGGTGACACCCCCGTGTCCCGGCTGCCGCCTCCCGCCGGTGACTCAGCCCTTCCCACCATCCCAGCAGAGCTGGAGACCATTCCAGGAGGAGAAGGAGCCAAAGCAGACACGGATCAGATCCCGCCGGCGCTCCCAGGCCCCGCCAGCCGCCCACCGCAGCCTTTCCACCGCTTAATTAGAGACTCCTCCAACCTTCTCCCCACGCCTGGCGGCTTCAAAGCCAAACATTCCCGGCGGGATCGGGCTGGGAGCGCCTGTCCCATCCCAAAAATCCTCGCCGTCTCGCCTGTGTTTGGACATTTTGGGAGTTTATTCCAGACCGCAAGGGCGCTCTCAGGGATTGTTTTGCTTGGCAGCAATTCCCGGCTCCTCAATCCCTGAGCAGAACTCGGGAATTCTGTGGGGGGGAACCAGAGGCGCCCCGGCCCCGTGTTCCCGGCTCTGCCGCGGGAGAATTCCCTGAATTAGCAGGGTTCTTTGGGAATCTCCGCCTCTCCCGTCCTGGAAGTTAAGTCAGGCCAAGACGGGGAAGCTGCCAGGGTGAAATCAGGTCTGGCTCTGTGGAACAGGGGAGGAGGAAGGCGGCTGTTCCTCCGGGGAAGGACAGGAGCCGCGGCTCCCAGGATCCCAGGGAATCCCAGCAGGGCCTTTTCCCTCTCCCAAGAGTAAAGAGAAGGGGCTGAGTTCCTCAGTGGGATCTGAATCCCTTCCAATCCCAAATTCCATAGGGAGATCTGAATCCCTCCTAATTCCAGATTCCACAGGGGGATCTACATCGCTCCCACTCCCAAATTCCACAGGGGGATCTCAATCCCTCCCAATCCCAAATTCCACAGGGGGATCTCAATCCCTCCCAATCCCAAATTCCACTGTGGGATCTGAATCCCTCCTAATCCTAAATTCCACAAGGGGAATCTGAATCCCTCCCAGTCCCATATTCCACTATGGGATCTACATTGCTCCCACTCCCAGATTCCACTGTCTGAATCCCTCCCAATCCCAGGTTCTGCAATGGGATTAGGAGCAGGGAAAAGCTCCGTGTCAAAGTCCAGCTCCTTCCAAATCCACGAGCTCCAGAGCCCTTCCTGCTGCAGGCACTGCCAGAACCACGGTTCACCTGGACAAGGAATTAGCAGCAGGCAGCTGGGGGGTGGAAAAATTCAAGGAATTTGTGTTTCCAAGTGTTGGCAGCAGCACAGGATCACCTGCCTGTACTTTCTCAGCTTCCTGTTTACGGAGCGAGGCTGATGAATCAGCCCAGGGAGAGTTCAGGGAACTCCTGGGAGTTGTTGCCACCCCCATCCCTGTCCCTGCAGCTTCCTGAGGATCCCAGGCTGGCTGAAGGAAGGACAGCATGGAGAGGGTCCTGATCCAGGCAGGAATTGTTAAATGAGTATCCTAAAAATCCCTGGCAGGGTGGAGATGTTCTCCTCCCTGGTTTATGGTTTCACGGAGTTTCAGGAGCTCTGCAGCTCCCAGGATTCCAGGGAATTCCTGTTTTCCTCTTCCCAGCAGGGCCTTTCCCCTCTCCCCAGAGCAGCGAGGAGCAGCAGTCGGTGCTGAGTTCCACAGTGGGATCTGCATTGCTCCCAGTCCTAAATTCCACTGGTTCCACTGTGGGATCGACATTGTTCCCTGTCCCAGATTCCCCAGGGATCTGAATCCCTCCCAATCCCAGATTCCCCAGGGATCTGAATCCCTCCCAATCCCAGATTCCCCAGGGATCTGAATCCCTCCCAATCCCAGATTCCCCAGGGATCTGAATCCCTCCCAGTTCCAAATTCCACAGGGATCTGAATCCCTCCCAGTCCCAAATTCCACAGGGATCTGAATCCCTCCCAGTCCCAAATTCCACAGGGATCTGAATCCCTCCCAATCCCAGATCCCACAGCAGGACCCGACCCCCTGCCAGTCCCGGTTCCTCCTGGTTCCCTGGGTCCCAGGGTGAACTCTGAACCCTGTGTGCCGATAACCGGAGCGGCCCCAGGAGCCTCCCCGTGCTCGGCTCTGGCTGCGAGCTGGGAAAGACAAAACAACCCCTGGAGACGTCCCTCGGCACCGGGGGGACGCGGGAGCAGCCCCGGGGCAGGCAGGAGAGGAGCCAGATGTGGGTGATGCAGCTTTGGATCCAGCTGTGCTCCCTCTGGATCCAGCTGTGCCCTGCATTTGGATCCAGCTGTGCTCCCTCTGGATCCACAGCTGTGCTCCCTCTGGATCCAGCTGTGCCCTGCATTTGGATCCAGCTGTGTCCTGGATCTGGATCCAGCTGTGCCCTCTTTGGATCCAGCTGTGCCCTGGATTTGGATCCAGCTGTGCCCTCTTTGGATCCAGCTGTGCCCTGGATCTGGATCCAGCTGTGCCCTCTTTGGATCCAGCTGTGCCCTGGATCTGGATCCAGCTGTGCTCTGGATTTGGGTCCATCTCCATCGTCCCTTTGCCCATTTTTAAGGAAACGGATGTTTGGGAAAGGGCCGGGAGGTGACGGTGGCAGCCAGGCCCGGGCAGGAAGCACAGCAGGGACACGCAGCTCTCCTGCACATCCTCCACAAGTGAAGAAACAACCCCCCAGAGCCAGAATTCCTTCCTGCCAGGGGGGAAAACCTCGGGAATTCGGCCCGGCCCCACCCGCAGCTGCTGCTGGAGCTTTTCCCTTCCCTGGATTCGCTCCGTGACTCAGCACAGCCCCGCTCTCCTTTCCCTGAGTCACCCCAGCCCTCGCTCAGCACAAACAAATCTTCCCCAATTCCTGCTGCGGCACCTCCCGAGGCCTTTCCCGGCCCATCCCGGGACAATCGGATTTTCGGGAATGGCGTCGCTCCTCACGCTGTGTCCGGGAGCTGTTCCAGGAGGGATGAAATCACTGCCGGGCACTTCTCCCTGTTCCTCCGGCAGATCCCAGCCCAGGGAACGCTCACAGGAAGATTTCCCAGCGGCTGGAAAACGGCGCTAAAACCGCGGGGAATCGATAAAAAATTCAGGGAACACCAAGACAGGGGCAGGGAGGGATCATCCCGAGGCCAAGGACACAAAGAGCTGGGAGGGAGGTTGGGAAATGCAGCCGGGGATGTTTGGGAATGATGCAAACACATCCCAGGGAGGGTCTGGCTGCGGGAGCACCCCTGGAATCAGCAGGATTTGGTGTTTTAAACCCACTTGGATATTCTGGACTAAAAACTGGATCCACGTCCTGACTCAGCAGGAATCTCTCGTTGCATCCCTGAATTTCCAGGCTCAAATCCGCTGCCATTCCCAGGAATGCGGCGGGTGGAGCTGCGGCTGTGCCGGGGTGAGCCACGAGGTGATGGGAGCGCACGGAGCCGCTCTGTTCCCGGCCAAAATCCCCATTTGGGCCGTTTTCCTGGGAAAAAGGGAGCGGTGACGGAGCGGTGACGGTGACAGAGCGGTGACAGAGCGGTGACAGAGCCGTGACAGAGCCGTGACAGCAGCGCTGGCTCTGCCGAGCCGTGACTCAGCAGCGGCTCCGGGCTCGGCTCCTCCTCCTCCTCCTCCTCCTCCTCTCCCATCACGGATCCGGCTGGCTCCGAGCAGCCTCTGCCCTTTCATCCGTTTATTTATGGATTCCTTGGTGGATTTCTTCCCGGCTGGGATGGATCAAGAACTTTGATCCTTTCTCCGTCATTTCACCCAAACCTTTCCTTTTCCTTCAGCTCACCCAAACCTTTCCTTCCTTTTCCCCTCATTTTACCCAAACCTTTCCTTCCCTTTTCCTCATTTCACCCAAACCTTTTCCTCCTTTTCCCCTCATTTTACCCAAACCTTTCCTTCCCTTTTCCCTCATTTCACCCAAATTTTTCCTCCTTTTCCCCTCATTTTACCCAAACCTTTCCTTCCCTTTT